CAGGAAGCTACTCATGATGTGGAGATTGGAGACTTCAATGAACATGATTTCAATCTCGATATTTCTGCAGATGACCATGAGCGTATTTCCGATCTACTGTCAGATCAAGATCTGGCTGCTACCGCAGGACCAACTACTGGAGCTGGTTCTACTAAAGTAGGTACATCAGAAGGTATGTATTTTTTCAAACTTAGGTCTTCCATTAACCTTTTGTTTCTCATTTTAATAATTAAATAAGAATTTCAGTCGTAGGACCAACCATTGAAGTTGATACGTCTACTATCATCAGTGTATCTGACCAACATGAAGGCTTAGGTTTCCTTCTCTTGACAGGTCTCCCGGCTGACAACGAACCATCATCTATTGTTCCTCCGACTTCTGACACTACCGAGACTTAGCTCGTTGCAATTTCTGATCCGTCTCCACTTGCTCGCGAAGCCAGAGTATCGAAGGCAAGCGTGGAAGAGCAAATCACCACAACTACTACTCCACTTGGTACATCACGTCTTTAATGTGTTTTTTTATAATTTGATTCACGCCCTTGTAATTTTTATTCATCCTATCCCTTTTGTAGATCTGGACCCGAAGCCATCAGAAGCTGCAATTGAACAACCATCTGATGTGGTGAACCCACCGCCAAGCATTATTTCTGAACAAACTTCGGTTGCCGTGGAGCATGCCTCGGCATCGACAAGTCAAGGTAATCAATTAGAGATGTATCCTGTTCGTTGCTATGTGCAAGCGTATATATATCTTACACTTATTTTATTTGTTCTCTTTGTAGCTCCTTTACCCTTGTCTGCACGTATTCAAGCTTTGTTAATGGATGAAGACCCGGACAAAGCTGTCATTTGCGCTGATGTCCAAAGTTTCATCACTTTCTTAAACACCATGGTTGATCGAATTATCCTCAAAGGCTCACCTTTCGAACATTTTAGGAGATCTCTCGATCGCCATGTATCAGGAATTAGAGAATACGGATACGCTGAACTATCTGACTCGATCAAAGCTTACTTAGCCGACCTTAAACAACACATTGAACATTTTTAGAATCTTCGTGTTAATAGCGCGCCTTCCTATATCGCACCTCGAATGGACTTGAGATTGCAGGCATGGCGTGATTCTCAGAAATTCGCTGAATCTGAACTTCAAAGGCTAAAAAACTGCATTAACCAACTCAGGGTGAGCGTCGCCAAGAAGACACAAATCAATGTTGACTTGTATCGTGACTTAGAATCGAGTCGAACAGAGATGACCCAGTTAGAAGAGCAACTTGCGAAAGCTAGGGATGCTCATGAAGTTTTGGAGTCCGATCTGGCGGAGGTAACTCAAGCCGAGGAGAATCTGTTTCGGCAGCTGAATCTTCAAGACAAGATTTTCGTCGATAAGGAACAAGAAGTCGCCAGAATTTAGAGCGTTGATGAAGAAAGCTTTAAAGCTGACTTAGTACCTGAGCTCGAACTGGCTTATGTGACAGAGCTCTCCCAACTAGAGGATCAAATCCGTCATTATAAACTATTGTAATTCTGAGAAGATATATTTTCTTATGTGGTTTTGTTTGAACGTTTTTTTTATCAATATAGTGAACTCTTTTGCTCATTGATATTTTATTATGATTACTCATTCTTATTTAGAATAAATAACCATAATACTTATAGGATTTTTGGCAAATCCTCAGCCATCAACGGATTTGATGTGCCTTTACCGACGACCGTTTGAATCGGGCTAGTATGTGAATTATCTAAATCCGTTTCACATATAACGTTAGGCTAAAAGAATTAGACTCTTTTATACTTTAAACTACAACATTGAATATGTAGGCTACATGTGTTAGATGTAGGCTTATCTCTAGTAAGGGATAGAGATAACATCCCCCATGTGTGAACGACATGGATTTTAAAATGTAAGTAGGTTATATTTCTTATGCAAGAAAATGAACTCAAGATTATAAAGAAAGAATTGTATATTCTATCTCTCAATCTCTTGTTTGTTGGTAGAGATGAACCAAAAATTGGAGAGAGAATTCTATATTCTATCTCCTGGTCTCTTGTTTGTTGGTAGAGATGAACCTAAAATCGGAGAGAGGATTTTATATTCAATCTCCTGGTCTTTTGTTTTTTGGTAGAGATAAACCCAGAATCGGATAGGAATAATTTTATATTTCATCTCCTGGTCTCTTGTTTGTTGGTAGAGATAAACCCCAAAATCAGAGAGGAAGAATTTTATATTCTATCTCCTGCTGTAAAGAAAACTCAAAGTGGGATCTCTACTTAGAGAATCTGGACTGGTTTGAATAATCCTGACTGTCATAATGTTTGATTATTCAATTCAAAAGTAGACCTCTCGTTCATAAAATGAATCGAAAGGAGATTTTGGTTATGGTCCTAACTGTAGTAAGGTTTGACCAAGTGGGAGTTTGAAGACGATCCTCATTGTTTACCAATTTGATCGTTCGACTCGTGGATCTCTTGTTCATGGAAGGAATCAAGAGGGGATTTTGGTTTTGGTCCTAACTGTAGTAAGGTTTGACCAGGTAGGGGACATGAATAGGGTACAAATAACAATGGGTTTGTTGATTTGTACAAATTACTCAGTGAGAATTTTTTAATGTCAAATACAAGAATTTGACATGAAGTGATTCGGCGACTGATATGGACCACTAACTTGAAATTTTTTTTGAACATTGTATCATAGCTTAAACATTGGAAATGTTAGAAAGCAGATACAATGGGAGTTTGAAAGATTGTAATTCATGACAAACTTCGGTGAGCCCTCCGTCGATCAGTTTGATCGGCGAAGGGTTTTGTGAGGAAAGATTAACTGTATTCTGTCATTGAACCTCATCTCAACAAAAGCTGTAGAAGAATCTTAATTATTTTATAATAATCAAGAATGGATTATTCAAATGATCAGTTTCTTATTTAGAATAATCAACTGATCTCGGGTTATCCCGAAATATCCTATACAGGATTCTCTGGGAACTTCCCTTTTTGCATAGGTTATCCTGACCATATTACGGATAATATTTCTTCAGGAACTTCCTATTTATTGGCATCATTAATTTGTTGCCATCCTGGGTAATCAGATGATATGCACCGTTTGAATAGACTGTTTCTATTACAAACGACATTTCCCATTTGGGTTGGAATTTTTCTTTCTTCTTGGAATTGAGAATCATAGACCTTCGAATGGTAAGAACCAGATCTCCTTCTTTAAAACTTCATCGTCGGACCTTTTTATTGAAAGCCTGAGAAATTCTAGCCTGATAAAACTCAATTTGTTGTTGAGCTTCAAAGCATTTTTCATCTAACATCTCTAATTCTTCGAGACGTTTCTGGTGATTTTCTTCCGTCGTCATTTCCGTTGCGAGAGTGATGCGGAGAGAGGGAATTTGTATTTCTAAAGGCAGAACAGCTTCGCATCCATATGTTAAGGAGTATGGGGTTGCTCCCGTCGGTGTGTGGATAGTTGTACGATAAGCCCACAGGGCTTCGCCGAGCTTGTCGTACCAATCTCGCTTATTGGTTTTCACAAGTTTTGCCAAGATCTTGATAATAGTCTTGTTAAAAGCTTCGGCCAATCCGTTGGCTGTGGATTATAAGCAGTTGATGAAACGTCCTTAATCCCGAATTTGCCACAAAATTTGATAAATGCGTTGCTAACAAATTGAGGACCATTATCGTGCACCATTTGCCTTGGAACACCATACCGATATATGATATGGTGTTTAATGAACTTGATAACATCACTTGTCTTTACCTCTTTAAGTGGAACTGCTTCTGCCCATTTTGAGAAGTAATCGGTGATTGCCAGAATGAAACGGTCCCCTTAACCGAAGGTGGGAAATAGGACCTACAATATCCATTCCCCAAGTTTCAAATGGCCATGACGTTGCTGACGGGTGCAGATGCTCTGGAGGCTTGTGTATATAATTTGCATGTAATTGACATACTTGACATCGTCGGGCGTAGTTGACTGCATTCTTTACCATGGTTGGCCAGTAATATCCAATTCTCCTAAGTCTGTCGTAGAGTTTAGGACCGGGCTGATGTGCATCGCATGTCCCATCATGCGCCTCTTTGAGTTCTTGTTCTGCTTCCTTATTAGATAAACAACGGAGTAATAGACCATCGTACGACCGTCAATACAGCATTTGTGCTGCAGCGTTATAGTAAAATCTCGGTGCTCTTCGCCGAATCGAATCCCTTTCTCTTATGTCTTCAGGTAAGATACCATGTAGGACATAATCGATAAAAGGGAATACTACAACAAAAAGCTAATCCGCGAGGAACAAATTTTTCGTTGAAAGTCAAGATTTCCTCGCCGTAGTGTGTTGGCGAGGAAAAAACTTTGGTCACCATTTCCTCGTGGTAGGGTGGTCAAAAAAAATTTCTGCGAGGAATATTATAATTTCTCGCGAAATCCTTTTTGCAATGAATATATTCTTTTCTCGCTGTTACTCTTTAGCCTCGATATTTTCCCTTACCTAATCTCATACCTTTTTCATCGCTAAACTGCAGTTTCCTCACCAATGATACGTGAATAATATTTAATTTATATATAATAAAAGTTCTAAAAACCTATTTTCGTCGTTGTAAGTATCTTTCAGTAAGGAAACTGTTCCTCAACAAAGGTAAATCTTTAATGAGGAAACTGATTTTCTTTATTATATGTATCTTTTTCTCGTGGAAACAGTTCCTCAATAAAGGGACTCAAAAATGAGAAAATTTAAATTTATCGATATAGGTTGTACCCCATATTCCTCGCCAAAAAAATTCAATTATGAGGAAATTTACATTTGTCGATATAGGTTATATAATCTATAGCGAGAAAAATTACTTTTGTCATTATAGATTGTATCATTATAGTGGGGAAATATGTTTTTGTTGACGTAAACAGTATACTTTATAACGAGGAAATATTCTTTTAACGACGTAAACAGTATACTTATAATGAGGAAATTTTATTTCATCAATAATAATGCTATTACAAGAAAAACGCTCAAAATATAAATAATTGTCATCAATTATCACCACAGCACATCAAAACAATTAAAATAAATAAAACAAGTTTCTACCATAAGTAACAGTGCTAGTCTAAAACAATAACAAATACAACACGATCAAAGAAACATTTCTCCAAGTTTAAGTTCACTAAGAATACTAAGTTGATTGATGTTGCCTGGAAAAATTAGCCATAAACTCCTCAAACTTTTTGGCTTGCTCCTCCAATCTTTGGATTACCTCATTTTGCGCATCGATCTTTTATTGTTGAGTTCCTACAAGTTGTTGGGTCTCTTGAAGCTGTTCTTGCAACTCTTTATTCTTTTCAGACATTTCACTCATCGAAGAACGGAAGAACCTTAATGGTGGTGGTCTAGAACCAAAACCATAGCCCTTAATGTAGCCTGATTTGACTTTGAGAACTTTTGTACAGATTTCCTCATTTGTCATTGATCGAGTTCCATCAAGTTGAATGGTATCTGCTCCCATCTTTATCATTTGATTCTATAAATAAAAAATATATCAACTTCAATCATATGCAACTTATTAATTACAACCTAATTAATATAATCCTCTTTAGAACAGTAATATCAGTTTTCGAACCTGGAGCTACACACACTGCATAGGCCAAACACCACAGTTAAAAAAAATTGAAATGAACACAGGTCATATAGTCCATATTTCGAGAAAAGCATGCAATGAACTATAACAAATATAACTAACAACTTTCATTAGAAAAATTATGTAGAACACTTGAAGACCAAAATATATTACTTACATTGGCTAAATAATCATAGATCATACATGGTGGCATATTAATGTGGTGAAATATATATTAGTAGTAAGAGAAACAAAAATCACACATACAAAGATGAGCAGATCTATGAGAAAAGTTATTATACTTAACTTATTGGAGTGGATAAAAGTTGTCCAAATAATTCATGTTGCATAAAGTTTGAGTAGTAGTTCTTCTGCAAGAAGATTTTTGCAGCAATTAACTAGTGGCAGCAACAAAGTTCAGCTTTACGTTAAATAACTGTTAGATAATTAATTTGTAATAACTAAACTAGTATCAAAGGTGGGTTAGCATTCTTTCAAATCAACAAAAAGATAATATCTACATTAAAGAACTTAATATTAAATGATGTACTTATATTATTCATAGGATATTTAGGACAACAATATAAGACTTTGAGCACATGATGCCAGATACTTAAAAGGTCTAAAAGATTAAAACATACATCAGACTCTTAAAAATGCAGAACACAATGATATTATAAACTCCTCATAATCCCTACCGGCATATTAAAAAAATCTGTGGATCTAAAGCCAGGGGAAAATAGTACATTTGATATACAAATTGCATTCCATATCAAAGTGCATGATATACGATGAAATTGAATAAATAACTCAGTCCGCAATATTAGAAAAGTTATGTATTGTTATGGGTTGTTACATGTACATCAAAAGGTTGTAAAATGAATGTATTTTCAATAGCCTGTATAGAAAGGATCCTTAATCCATAAGCTAGATGGCATAAAATAAAAAATGGATTATTTCTATTTATAATAGTTTAATAAATGTTTATTATTTAAACAGAGATCATTCAATACAACAAACAGGTGATTCAAGCACATATGGACTGATTTGAATGAGCTCTAAAGTCAAACGGTCCTAGGTTCTGTGCATGTATCCCTGATTAAAAAGGTTAATTGATTTTTTTACGTGCTATATCAGTTTGCTATTAATAATTTTAAAGTCGTAACAATTTACGGAATCACTAGTTCAGTCCCTGATAACATCAAGCATGATTTACTAAGAAACATGTCTAGGCAAATGATCAAAGTCAAACACTTGCATTTATTATTAAAACTAGTAAAGACTAGATCTAACCTGACTGGATATTACTAGTTCAGTCCCTGATACTCATATTTTCCTCTGAATCTCATTTATATATTTTTAGATGTCCTAGTAATTTGGCATTTCAGCAAAGCAACTAAAAAGATTGCTTGTATAAATAGAAGCCTTAATCGTTAGGCAATATCATCATTAATTGTGGGAAATCCATAAGCACCTGGCATATTTTAATAATGTGAATCATCGAAAACAAAAACAACAAATAAAATTCATATGCCTGAAGCATATAGATAAACAGACCTCAACCATTTCATTTCCTCTTTCTCCACAGCCCACATGGATCACTGTGCTGGAATTAGAGTACTAGAAGAAAGAAGAAAATTAGTGCAAAACATGTACAAGGGGGGAAAAGTAATATTTTCAGTACCGAGAAGGTTATCAAAATGAAAAATGAAAATGTTACCTTTGAAAGTGCCCGACTGATGACTGTTTTACCACAACCAAAAGCTCCAGGTATAGCACAAATTCCTCCAAGCACAGAGGGGAAAAAGGCATTGAGAACACACTGACAAACATTCATGAATAAACAATTAGAAACATGTATTAACATTTAAACTGTGTTTAGAAAGGAAATGATGCTAGGCCTAAGAAAGAATCCCATTGATGAAGCTTATAGGAAAATATTATATTGATTACTTGTCCAGTCAAAAGTGGTTCGAACAGGCCATCTCTGCAGCAAAAGACACTATATCAGCAAATTGTTTAATTGAATCCCAGTTTTAAAACAAGAAACAAACACTAAGAAATTATAAACCTGAAGCATAGTGAACTTATTGATGCCTTGAAACTCCAACTCCAGTACCGTGTCCTGCAAAGTTTGCATGTTAAATATAAAACTACAACCAAATTATTCCCTCAGGAGGATCAGAGAGAATTCTACTAAGATAAAATAATATGAAATCAGTATAATATCAATACATTAAATGATACTAACCCGTCGAGTGTCCAGACGGTATAGAGTGCGTAGAGGTGGTCTGCAAAATCATCCTCGACCACATCTGCTAGATGTGTAATCATATCAAGAAATCAATCATAATGTAAAACAAAATCAAAATCAAAATAAGAATTTACAAATACGGGGTCATAAGGAAGATTGATAGTGTGCACGTGAATAGGAAGTGAACTGAAGTGATACCACAGCAAACTATTTATCAACAAGTCAATGTCATGAATATAATATATAGACGTCAAAAACCAGTAGACTAGCAAAGAAATAAGCAATCCAATAGACCATTCAACAATATTATGCAGAGGACTATCTCAAAACATGTAGGCACATGGAAGGTACAAGTGGTTTTCTTTTCCTTTTTTAAATATAAAAAGAAATGAACAAACAACCAGAAAAAATTAAGGAAAAAATATACAGCCACACAAGAAGAAGGATTAAGTATGCAACTAGACCTGAGCAAATATCCAAACAAGAGAGCTCAAAACAAAAGTACATGCAGAGTTACATTGAAGACTATGCTGATCACCATCAACTCCAGCAGGCTGATCCTCCTCCTCTTCCACCCAATCATCAGCAGTAGCAACCTGTCCTGTAGAATCCACCTCAACATCATGTGAAACAAGTTGGTTGGTCTGCCAAACCTAAAGCTGAATGAAATATGACATGGTTCAACATAAAAAGTACTAATTAGCTAGAATCCTACATTGAACCAAAATCAGGGACCAAAGCTACCATTTTGGTATCAAGAATACAAAGAGCGCAAACAATGACAACAAATGAAAATTGGAGGAAAAACATATAATTATAATTACATAAACTAAAAACAAATCACCAAATACAGAAATGAATCTTACTTCATGAGAATGTCATAGTACTCTGGATCCAAGGTCGAGAACATCCCATCCACATCCTTTATCGCCATCATCGCCCGATGCACCACAATCCAATTCGCCGACTGCAACAACCAAATCCAGAACCCCAATTACAAAGATTCCACTTCAATAAAACCAAAACCTAATTTATGAAACCAGATCAAAAAGAACCCCAAACCTTACACCTCTCATCCTTGATGCTCGTCCGTGATCCTTCAAGCGCCGTCTTCAGAGCTTCCACCGGCTTCAATCTAACGAAAAAAGGAAAAAAACAATATTCGTTAGAGGTAAGGATGATCTATTCGAATTAGGGTTTTGGAATCCATAGAGCTCAACTGTTTGAGCAAGGTCTCGACTTTGCGGGACTTCTGCTCGAGCCTCGTGGCCATCGCCTCCAGATTTTCTGCTTCCAGAGAACTTCCCGCCTCCGCCCGCCATTACTGTTGACATGGCAGATGGCGACGCTTGAGGATTTGAGATCGACGCAGAGAAGAGAACGAAGCCGACGCCGTGGAAGTAGAGGACGACGGCAAGCTTGGGGCTAGGGTTAGGGTTTGGGAGGTAGAGGCGGAGGGAGGTGTTGCGGGCTGGGTTGAGGGGGATGTCTCTGGAGAGGGCGGCGCCGGCAGTGGGGGTGGGGGTGGAGGTGGAGGGGGGATGAGGGGGATCTCGGTGTGGCGGGAGAGGGATCCATCGGGGTTGAGA